TTCAGACGTGTGCTCTTCCGATCTCCCCAAAACCCCAAAACCCCTAGATTTTAAATTTGAAATATAACAAAAAAGAATAAATATAAATGTAATTTTAAGTTTAAGAAATATAAAATGGAAAAGTTAAAGCAATCCCCAGCAGAGCTTCTCAAAATAGTCCAAATCAAGCCAATCGAGCAAGAGTGCTTAGACAGAGTTTTCGCCTATCTCAGTAAGATATTCCTTTTCCTCATCCCTCTATTAACCTTTTAATGCGTATAGTCGACAAAGGTACGTCTTTAATTAAGGAATATCTAAGCATTTAAACACATCGAATAACAGTAACTTCCATTGAAAATGAGAATGAATGTTAAAGAGATGAAATCAAATTTTTTTAAAATAAGAATACTTTATTCAACCAATAATGTGTAACTAGATAATATAGACCCTAAGAAACCTGAGGAGCATAAGAAGAAGATTGGAGAGGGAGACTTGATGAAAGTACTTACCTTCCTAGGTCAGAAGCCCTCAAAGTCTGAAGTCAAACTTATCATCTGGGTATTATAAATATCAATAATATGAATAATAGGAAGTTGATGATGATCTTGACGGATATGTGAGCAAAGAGGAATTCTAAACAATGTACAAGAGATGCATCTCAGACGATACAGGGCTTGAGCCAAGAAAGCTATTTAATCTTGTACAGTTCTTGATGTACGATAAGACATTCAAGGGTCGTGTGACTGTCGAAGAGACTCTTCAAATTCTCTATGTCAGATACGGAAGAGAACGCTTAGATGATGAGATTAAGGCCATTTTTGGGTAAGTATTAGGATATTTACAGACTATGCAATTATGTCACGTCTAATGATTCAGACTCTAATTTATATCTCTTATAGTGATGATGAGAAGAATGGTGATGGAAGTGAGAAGGAGATCACCTATGGAGAGTACGTTGAAAAGATAAATAAAAGAGCTCTTGAAGAGTAGAAGAAAATTATCTAGGCTAGAATGAGAGGAGAACTTAAGAAGCAAGACAATGAGGACTAGTGAGAAATTACATGCCGCATTAATCATCAATAAGTTAGCATTTATGATTGGCGTTAGATTGAGTCTAGAGATGGAACTTATAAGCTAGCTAGATAATTTAAGTCATATAAATATTATCATTATCATTTCTCATACACTCTGTAAATTTTAAGTTGAGGGGTTTTGGGGTTTTGGGGTTTTGGGGTTTTGGGG